GAGGGTTGGTGTGGACTCGATGGGCAGAATAGCCTGCTTCCACACTGTAGGGTTTCTATGAACACTCTTTCCATGTTGTTGTATCTTATTCCATTCTAATTTCATTCCCATAACAATGTCAGCATAGCATGATCTCCTCCAAGTCTCCTTCACTGGAGCAATGGCAATCTTGTTTCTTTCAATCCTTCCCAGATAGTGGGCTGGATACTTTCCTTGAGGGAAGGCCATATAAGGATACTGGTGTAACTCCATTTGCCCATGTGTTCTATATGGCACAAAAACAAAGTTCTAGTTTGCGTTCAGTACCAGTTCAAGGATGCAAATTCAGTACTAAGCTTTATATAGCTGAACAATAATGTGTACTTACTCTTAAATCTATCCTGAGATCTCACAGGGAACTTTCGCATAACTCAAGTTTAATGTAACCTTGCTGTCCTTCGTAATAAACCTACTGTGTGTCAAGACCAATACTCTCTTCTGTCCAGGACATCATGTGAGCATCCTTCGCCAGTAGATATCAGTAACTCAGACTAATACCAATAACAAGGGTTGGTGGCAATGGACCTACCCCAATGCACTTCAGATAGTATCAGTGAACATGACCACAACATATACGAACCACAGCAGAACCTTCCATAAACCCATTCACAAGTTCTGCACTTGCCCTTGTTACTTCCAGACTCTCTCAATGAAAGTATCAGGCTGGGGTAAGGATGTTGGGCTGGAGTGGGGAAATTGTTCCAGTAAAATATGTCCACACAAATGTTGGAAACAAAGTCAAAATCCTATGAACAATGAAAAATTAGAATATGTCACAATTTTCATCATTTACGCTCTCGTCGTACTTAAAGGGATGTCTGATGTGTGAAGTGTGGAGGAGATGTACAGAAATGAAAGAACCAGAAGGCAATGAGTTCAAACACAGGGTGATCAGATTGTAGTGACCAACCATGCTTTTAAAACTTTACAGTTCTTTTTAACCTATCTGTGGGCATCAGTAGCCACAGCACAACTAAGAGACCACAGGCAATGACCCCTCTGTGACCAAGATTAGGGAATATAATTTATTCAAATAGCCTCAAAGTAGAAGATCAGCCAGGATAATTGATGCATATTTGCAACTGGATGAAGTCCCACACATTACACTTTGGGCAAACCTTGGCAACAGTATCACCATAATTTTAACTAAGACTTCTGCTTCTAACATTTCATCCAGCTTTCACTAATGAAGTATTTTTGGATTTACTATCCACTCTCAACTCAACTGGAGCTCTCACGCCTCCAAGAAGCTTTTCTGTGTCAAGAATCAATTTTGTTTTCCCCTTCCGGTAGTTGAAAGTTACTCTCATTATACATAAAGGTTGCTGTCTGCCATTTCTGGACATAAGACAAGAAAAAGCTGGGCCCAGTCAACGCACGATTTGGGATCATTTAGTGATCTCCAGGTATAGGTTAACCCCTTCTTGTGATCTTCTCAAAATATCAGAATTATATGACCTTCCCTCGACACTGTATTCTCTGGCATAAAAAGTAATGTAGACAGCAAAACATTGCATGTGCATCAACCGAATGGCTGTGTCTCAAATCTGAATGGAGTAGTCTTCAGTCAAGTCAAGGGAGACACTCTTCAGTTATGGTCAGGGTAGCAAATCAAGATTAGCCTCCATTATGAATCCAGGGGCTTGGACATGGTCAGTTTGTCACTTGGGGCAGTGAAGCTCAGGGGCTTCGTATCTCTACAGTCCAGGTGTGTGCCATAGCCAGCTTTGTAGGTCCAGTGCAACCAGTCTGGGGAATCGTGGTAAGTCAATCAAGGAGTTGAATACAGAACAGTAAGGAGTCTTGTCAATCATGGGTCAGGGCAGTTTGTCAAAGTTGGTCAAAGAGTGGGCCACAGTCAGTTTTGTGTATCTGTCCACTAAAAATCAAGGGGGCATTATCAGGAGCCACTGACACGGGTAGAAGCTGGGGAAGTTAATTGTAGGGGATTGGAGGCAGAATGCTGGAATGCAGAGGGGATGCAGGGAGCCTGTCCTGCAGTGGAGCCTCTTGGTCTTGGAGTTTTGGTTGAACAATCCCAAGACTGTTTGTGGCTAGTTGTCCCAAAAATGCAGAGTGTGTCTTCTGCTTGTATTGAGGGGTGAGGGTTGCAGGCAAGTATATGATCCAGGCACCTTTGGAGTGTCCAGAGGGAAGAATTCTGGGAGGTTTCTACGTCGTTTCTCTTCTGGGTGTGTGCCTACAGGCACCACTCAGTTTCCATATGAAGAAGGGCACCCAGAACAAGACCAAGGACCCTCATCCTTCTGTCACCTTGCTGTTGGTGCTGAGTGCCAATAGCTAGAGAGATAGAGTACAGGGCTGTGCATCAGCCACTCACTGTGGGTGCTGTGCTTGGTTCTCCATGGCAGCTATCAACCTGTCTATCGTTTGAGCATCCCAACACACTCACATTCCAGAGGCAGCATGGTACAAACAGTGTTGGTGGAGTCCTCCAACCTTTGACTCAGTTTACCCAGTGCCATTAACAAACCAGCCTCCTTGCGTCTTGTGCACTTCCATGAAGTTAATTGCTAACAGTGTGGGTTCCTCTCCTGGCTGGGTCTGAGTAGGCGCCTGGTCTCTGATAGTCCCCAGAGTAGCAGAGGCCAGGGTTTTCATTCGTTAGCCAGCTGTGATGATGTGGCAGCGGTATGCTGACCAGAATGTGCTCCCAATTCTGATCTAGCTAAAATCTCATAACAGTTTTTGAAAGATCCCTGGAGATTCCAGCAATAGGGAGTACATTTGCCTATGGTGAGGGCAGATATGACGAGAGATGTACCATCAAGAGGTACTGCATAGATAATCAGCTGAGTTTTGGAAAATGGCATGAGACATCTTGCTCGGGCTCACAGAGAGACACCTTTCATGAAATTCACTGAAATTGACTGATTTCTGGTTAACTCCATTCCTGAGGATACCCTGAAGAATTCTACTTCTCAACCTGTCCCCCTGCCTGAGGTGTGGTGACCCTTAGGTTTAACACCACCAGTTGTCTCTCTCTCCCTCCCCCACCCCCCATCTCTCTCTCTCTCTCTCTCTCTCTCTCTGTCATGAGAAAGAAGCCTATGGTCTGGTGCAACGATGGTGACTTTTAAAAGTTCAGCCCAATGTCTAACTACTTTAACTTGTACCTTGTTGCTGTTATGCAGTAAACTGCATCTTGTCAAGCCAAACGTCTCTTTTCAGTGAGACTCACTTTCACCACTGCAATACATTTAGACACTCATTAATATTAGGGAACGAGGAAAGGTAGCAGTATCCTTCCACCCACAAATATTACATCATCGAATACAAGAATCTTCTTGATGCTGCACATAGTCTTCTTGGCAGGGGTCCACTCTATTAAAATAATTACACGTCTCCTCTTCTGGCTTCTAGCCATTAATGCATGAATCCAAGTTGACCCCATTTATGTTAGGAGGCAGCCTGAATACCTTGACTTCTGAGGTGCATTGTTGGCAAGGCCTTGGATTACTTTGAGGACTGAGGTTGTAGGAACTGTCAATTTAGGGAATCCCCAGCTCCCTTTCTAACACTGTTGTCTCTCTAGAGCCTAGTTAGAGGCTTTGTTCCTTAACCAAGCCAATGGCCATATTCCTTGCCCTTTCAACACTGCCTGCAGAATTATAATGGAGAGATTTTCAATTGACTTTTGGAATCTACTTCTACCTAAATGCCAGACATGCATTTCCCTCTTCTTATTTCCATTTCGATTACTGCTGAACTCTCCTTCCCCAATTGACTTCTGTGAACGATGGAATCATAAAATCTCTACAGCATGAAAGCAGGCCATTCGGCCCATCAAGTCCACACCAACCCTCCGAAGAGCATCCCGCCCAGATTCAACTCCTACCCTATCCCTACATTTCCCATGGCTGATCCACCTAACCAGCACCCCCTGGACACTACGGACAATTTATCATGGCTAAAACACCTAACCCATGCATCTTTTGGACTGTGGGAGGAAACCAGAGCACCCAGAGGAACCCCACTCAGACACTGGGAGAATGTGAAAACTCCACACAGACAGCTGCCTGAGGGTGGAATCGAACCCAGGTTCCTGGCACTGTGAGGCAGCAGTGCTAACCACTGAACCATCATGCTGCCCAAAGTGATGGAAGAGGCAGGAATGGTGGCACTAATCTTTTATTGAAAAATCATGAAGAAGCTTGTAATAATCTCTGGGAAATAATTCAAATGTATCTTGGTTAAGTGAGGTCGCTTGGCTTTTCCTCTCTTCAAACTTACACTGAGAGCATCACCAGGACACAGTCTCTATCCTTCAAAGAGTGTTTCATGTGCTTCCAGAACTGCAGTGTTCTTTTACTGCCTCAGAATCATCAATATTTTGCTTACTGCAAGTTCCATATCAGTGACAGCAATTTCACCAAGATACCCTGGTGCATTTTGAATTCAAGTCTCAACTTGTAAGGAATTCATTACATAAAGGATGATCATGGCCTCATCATCAACACAGTTTCCTATTGCATTTCCCTCTTTCCCAATTCATCATAACTATAGACTTACCAATCTCTATTCCCTTACCTTTGCAACCTGCATGAGTTCAAAACCCAGGTTTGGTGCCATATGGTCACTTTTGATTTATAACACTTTTAAAAACATTTCATCAACTGTCCATTGTCCTATATCAACAATCTTCACTCTTCATCTTTTTTAACAAAAAAAACATAACTACTAATTATTTTCTTACATTACACAATCCGAGACAACGCACACAAATCTCTGTAGCAGTTCTTCATATCATCTATTGTAGCTTTTATGGAAAAGTTCAGAAACCCTATTAAAATGTGCTAAATGGTGTTCACATTTTCCAAAAGTTTCTGTGATCTTCCTGTGAAATTTAAAGTGGGTATATGGGAGAATATCTATACGATAAACACCTCCGCTATATAAAATTACACTAAGTGGACTGCTGAAAGGAAATGGGTACTTACTGCAAGGATAACTTGTAGTGAACTATGTGCCACCTCTATATACTGGTATTCTAGGAGGCACCCTCTGATATAAATGTAGCGGTGATCCTCCGGTACCCATTCTGGAGTATCAGTTATAGTCGCTACTGCACATCCTGGTCCATTCTCCATCCACCAAGAGCGATGCATAGAAATGTTAAAAGTCATAATCAGGTCAGTATCCTGTGACAGAAAAAGATGACGGATTTAAAATGATGTTGAAATGTATTGTATCCTGTGATACAACGTGGTGAACATTGGCAATTAGTAAAATCTCCATTTTTTAAAAATCATTTGTGGGATGTGGGCTGGCCAGCATTTTTTGCCCATCCCTAGTTGCCCTTGAGAAGGTGGTGGTAAGCTGCCTTCTTGAACTGCTGCAGTCCACCTGCATAAGTTTACCATAAGACAAAATCCTCCTGCTTAAATTCTTTGAAAGTTAGTTTTAAGTGAACAAATTGCACCTTGTTTCAGTGAGAAAATAGCAAAATACTGACAGAAAAACATTTAAATGTATAGCATAATCACATATTTGTTATGTAAGTGTATCATGGCATATTTAACAATAAGTAAGTCGGCTGCCACGATATAATTGAATAATTTCAGTTTGAAGAGCTGAAGGACAGATTTGAGCAGGAGGGAAGATGGAACCTTGGAAAGGAATACTCTACTTCCAGAGATTCTTTGCTGTAGTTCCTGGCATATTGTTAGATATACACCTGTTCGTATGAACTGGGCCATCCCTATCATTGGTGGCTTCATATCTAATATGGTGATCCTGGCTAAAATCAGATACTTAAGTTCAAAAACAATTATTTTTGTGTTGTATATTCTATGTAATCCTATGTTGGTAAATCCATTATTGAATATTGGTCTCTCTACAGCATTAAATTTGGGTTCTTCACAAAGCCCAGAACATGTGTCTGTTTGCAGCAGATGAGATCTACTGGGGTGTATCTGATATTATGCCAAAGATACTTCAGGACGTCCGTTGCAAATATCCTCAAGTTGTTTAATAAGACTGATGAAGGCCAAAGAAACCTTTACTCCTAAATACCCCGGTTACAGATCTGGCCATAAATTCTGACTCTCACACTCTCTGAGCCCATCGATGTCAGAATTTTATCCTTGAGTGAAATTTCTATGTTGTTTATTTTCAAGAGTACCTTAACCCTGGGAATTATGATCCTTCTATTATTTTGCTTTACAAGGAATTATGGGGAATAATTTCTGCTACAAGTGGTTTAAGACCCAGACAGAAGCGAATTAACAATAAATAATATACAACAGAAACTCATATATTGCTTGATCCTTCTTGACATTCAACATGTTAAGGGAGCTGCTAACCATCTCTCTTAATATAGACTTTAAAACATAAGCTCACTTTTCATACCATGATATATTACAATTCATGCTGCTTGTCAGATAACATGAAGTTGGTTGGCTTGCCGAGCTGGTTTGTTGTTCCGCAGATGTTTTGTTACCATGCTTGGCAACATCCTCAGTGCAGCCTCTGATGAAACGTCAGTGTGTTTTCCTGCCTGGTTTTTAAACTTTGGGGTCCGTTGCGACGGATTGCCTCACTTCCGGGTTTCCTCCGTAGTGGAATGTATATGGGGTCGAGTACAATGTGTTTATTAACAGCATGTTTCGTGGAGTGCCATGCTTCCAGGAATTCTCGTGCTTGGCTCTGCCGAGCCTGTCCCAGGATCTTGGTGTTGTCCCAGTCGAAGTCATGGTTCTCCTTGTCCATGTGGATTGAGATGAGTGAGTATTGGTCTTGTCTTTTTTTAGCCAGTTGGTGTTCATGTACTCTTGCTGTTAGTTTCCTTCCTGTTTGTCCAATGTAGTGTTTCTCGCAGTCTCTGCAGGGGATCTTGTAGATGACATTGGTCCTGTCCATGGCGAGGAGTGGGTCTT